GCAGCGAAACCCATGCAAGCTGCAGCTCCCTTCCGGCCACTCAACACACTGTAGTTGCTGGTGATCACATGCTGCACTCTCCCCTCCCAATCTGCGGGCGCAACCTCTCCTGGGACCGAGCGCACAATCGACGAATTCAGCGCCGTCACGCGGGCCTCGGTGGCCATCAGGAAACTAAGAAAATCTTGAAGTGGCTTGTTGATCGCGATGGCGTAGTTGAGCGACTCGCCGCCCGTGTCCTCAATGAACCACCTGGTAGTTTTCCCTGCCCTGATGGTGTTCTTGACCGCAGCCCCCGCGTTCTCGGGGTCGTTCAAGTTCCTCGCAGCCTCCTCCTCGGCCTGTCGAACTCGAGCTGATGGGGAAGCAGCCGACCAAGCGCGCCTCAGGAGGTCGCAGCACTCGCGGGCTCGAAATGCGAACGATACTGCTTGCTCAAACCCCTTCCATCTGTACAGCAGCGGAGTTGCCATGGGCCCGCCAGCAACCAGACGGGTCGCAGCGACCACGCGCGTCTTGGCCACCTCGCGCCTGCCTCCGCAATCGAGGGGGCGCCCGTCGATCAGGCAATAATGAATAAGCTCGAAGTCAGCATCATCTGAAATCTTGGCGCCCAGCCAAGACATGTTCAATGCATCCAAGACGCACTTTTCATCTGACTCCGACATGTCTAGTGCTGGGCGCGACCGCGCGAGCACTCGCGCATTTGCACTCCTGGCAAGTCGACCCCCCCCCCCCCCCCCCCCCCGCGCCAACCCGCCCCGCCCCAATAACGCTGCCCTTCCCGCCGCCTCCCGCTGCCCCCCTGGCTCGAGCGGGGCGTGGGCGGCGGCGGGATCGGCGTGCGAAGGGGGATCGGGCGCGGGGGGGCGGTGCCTCGACTTCCCTGGGGCGGCGCCGCCGCCGCGATCCTCCACTCCCCATGACCGTCGGGCATGTCCGACCAACCCTTGAGGGCCTGAGCGGTTGCCTGCTCCGTCCATGCTTCTTATTCCCCTTCGGGGGGCGGGCCCTTGACGGGGGGGCCCCGCATGGCGCTGCAATGCCCAAAATCGGCACATGGGACATGCACTGTCTCACACCACCAAGGGGCGAATCCGTTATGGATTAGCTTTTGCGCACGCCTCATGAGGATCGCAGCCCCGACCCTGGGCCAACTTTTAGGCGGGGCCCCCTAAGGGCCACAGGGGAGGTCCCTTCCGCGCGAGCGGGCTCGCATGGAATGCCCCTTGAGGGTCATTCCGTTCGAGCGGGCTCGCCAGTGCAGATATCCGTTGGAATCCCCTTCCACGCGAGCGGACTCGCATGAAATGCCCGAGGATGATGATCATGATGTGTGTGTGCGTGTGTGTGTGTGTGTGGTGTGTGTGTGGTGTGTGTGTGGTGTGTGTGTGTGTGTGTGCGTGCGTGCGTGCGTGCGTGCGTGCGTGCGTGTGTGTGTGTGTGTGTGTGTGTGTGTGTGTGTGTGTGTTTGTGCGCGTGCGCGCGCGTGCGCGGCTGGGCGCGGGCGCGCGCGGGCGCGCGCGGCCCGCGGCCGTCCAGAGAAAACGAGGGCCCCGCTTAGGATGCGGGGACATAGACATTCCCTAATGATTGACTGGTCGTCGTCGTTGTCCTCGCCCCGTCCCCCTGCCTCCTCGCCCCCTTCCCCCCCCCCCTCCCCCTCCTCCTTCTCCCCCTCCCCTTGCTCCCCCCCCGTCCCCCAGCGCCCCCCCCATCCTCCTCCTCCTCCCGCCCCCTTCCTCTTCCTCCTGCTCCTGCTCCTGCCCCGCCCCATCCTGCCCCCGCTGCCCAACGCCGACCCTCGGGGCCCGCGTGCCAGCGCTGGCCAGAGGTCCGATAAACCCACCGTGGGCCCCGTAGGCTGCCGGCTGTCGGCCCCTCTCCTCTGCGGGGGCCTCCCGCGGCGCCTCCGCTCGCCTCCCCCCCCCCCCCCCCCCCCCCCCCCCCCCCACCCCCCATCCCAAGGAGGGGCAGGGGTGTAGGAGGAGGAGTAGGAGCAGGAGGAGGAGGAGAAGGAGGAGGAAGAGGGGGGGGAGGAGGATAATCCCGAGCGTAGGCATGATTAGAACAACTGTTGTTTGGGGTTGGTGGGGACGCGCGAAGCGTGAAGAATTCTCCGCGATCGCGTGCCCGAGCTTGGCGGCAATGTCGTCGAGCGCGCCCCTGTACCCAGTGGCCGCGCGCCCGCTCTCGAACAAGTGGCCGAGGCGAACGAGCGGGCTCGCAGCCCCAATGGCAGCGACGAGAGGCTTCATCGGGAGCGCGCAGGAGTGCGCCGAGCAATTCACGTCCAAGAGGCTGATCTTGGATCTGTCGGGCACGGCCAGCGCGTCGTGGGATTGCTGCCCCAACGCGACGAGGCACTCGTTCAACAGCAAGTTGTCTGTCATGAAGACCAAAGTCCGCCAAGTGTCACGGCCAGCGAGGGTGGCGACGAGCTGTCGAGACGCATCCAACTTCGAGCCCGAGTCGCCCATGCGGACGGCTTGCCAATCTACCCACCTGCTGTAGATCGTCGTGGCGTCGGCGATCGGCAGCGCCGTGGATGGGGTATGGACGAGCCCAGCGCCGAGCGACATGCAGCCTCGCTCTGTAGGCCGTGACGTAAATATTTCCTGAACGCTATTCATCACAGGCATACTGATGTGTTTCCTTTCGTTTTGAACGCCTTCACAAATCTCTCATTGAACTGGTCAAACTGGGGAAGGTCAATCTGCTGGCGTACCTCTTCGAGGCGAACCCACATCGAAGCATCGTCCATCTGGCTGGCGGACCACGCGTGGTCAACTTCAGGTGCCGGAAAAAACCGAGCCAATTGATTACATTGGGCGCGAACGTGGCTAACAATACCCCTGTCTATCAACGCGTCCGCGGCAGATGTGGATTTCCCAAGCTCGACGCCGAAAAACAACGAGCCGTCGACCATGAACTGCAACCCATTGTCTCTAGCATCGCCGCAGGTACCAGACGGCTGCGCATACCCGAGGGCACGGGATGTCCTCGCAGCGATGCTCGGATTCAGCGCCTCGGAGGAGGCCGACAAGATTCTGGACTGTCGGTCTCGCGACCGTCTGGCCATGGCAAGCTCATGGTTCTTCTTCTTCTGCTCAGGTGTGAGCCTGTAGTTCAAAGGCCTGCCGCGAACGCCCAGCCCGCGCCCGATGCGACCGCCTCCTCTGCCACGGCCGCGGCCCCGACCGGTGGCGGGCGCAGCTGGCGGCGGAAGGGCTGGCGACTCGGCCGCCGCGGCGTCGCCTGCATCCGCGTCGCCCGCTGGGGCGCCGAGCAGGAACTCAAACATGCAAAATGCGTGGCTCGAGCACAAAATGGCAACGGACGACAGGCTGAGACCCCCCATAGGCCTCCATCAGAAGGCCCCCCAAGTGCCGCCCAAGATCATCAATAGAACCCTGCAGGCCTTGTTTGCACAATGCATGTGTTATACCCCAAGAGGCGACGACAAAGGGCCGTGGGACAACCGTGAGACATCGGCAACGGGTTGGGTGATTGCAGTGGTGGCAGACGCAAGCAAACAATCGCAATTTCCAGTGTGGGCGCGGCATATCATTTGAAATCAGCGCATCTGCGTTCCTGGCGCGGCGGCGGCACGTCGCCACATCTTTTGGAAAAAGGGTCGGTGCAAGGAGGGGTGGGGGGGCTGGGGAACAATGGTGATGATGAGAAGGAGGTTTCGCATGTCGTCATGTTTTTTTGCTGCCCGACGTCCTCGCCCGACCGACCAACTGGCATTGCCCGAAAAACTATTCTTCAGGAGTCCGCAACGCAAGCCAGATCCCTGTTTAAAGCACAGTTGAAGAGTTCGTATGACCATGTATCGACGTTTTTTGTCGGTCAGCTGAACTCAACACACTTCGGGTCTACTATCTCAAAAGGGCGCGTGGCGGAGATCACGCATCTTGGATTTGGAATTGTTTTCGGAGAGCGCCCAGCGCTGGTTTCTGCCGCGCAAGTGTGAAATCACCCAAGAGGCAGCCGCGCACCTTCGATCCGATTCATACTGTCATCCCCTGAAGCATTGACGGCGTTGAACGTCGCGAGGCGTGCGCGGGCGAATCCGTCGCGCTTACTAGTGGCGCCAATGCGGACATGCAAACGCATTGCAAAACAATGCTCAGACATTTGCTTGCGCTTCTATGATTATAACATTAGTACTACTATAGTTGCGCACATACATTCACTATCTCTGCCATATTACATTGTTAATGGCGGCAGAAGGATTCAACTTCAACACCGCGGGCCCACGTAACTATTGTACCCGCATGGTCCTGAACCCCTCCAAAACACCATTTCTGGTACGCTGATCAAAGGCACCCGTGAAACTCTTGCAAGTATACGTATCTATATGTAGTAAACAAAGAATGTGCGCGGCACTCAGGCGAGAAACACATTTTGAACAGGAGCCGCCTGCAATCCGTGAAACTCTTGCAAACGTTTAAAAATAATGTGCGCGGTGGTAAAGCGAGAACCACATGTTGGAAACGGCCCGCCCTCAATCCGTGAAGCTCTTGCAAATCTTTCAACGAATGTGCACGGCGCTCAGGCAAGAGCCACATGTTGAAAACTACCCGCCCTCCATCTAAGAACTTCTTGTAAGTTTTTCAAACGAATGTGCACGGCGCTAAAGCGAGAGCCACATTTTGAAAATGACCCGCCCTACATCTGTGAAGCGGTTGCCAATTTCGAGGCTTCAGGATCATCAGTGATGACGAAATCTCAAGCGAAACGCCCGGCGCGCCCTGAAAACTGGCGTCGGGTTGCGACATGCAGAAATTATTTATGAGGAAATGGAATGGAGGAGGAGGAAAAGGAGGGAGGAGGGAGGGGAGGGAGGGAGGGATGGAGGAGGGAAAAAGGGAGGGAAGGGGAGGGGAGGGGAAGGGAGGGAGGGGAGGGAGGGAGGAGGAGGAGGAGAGGAGGAGCCAGACAACTCCGACGACGACAACGACGACGGGGGCACACATCCCGCCCCGAGCCGCCATGCGCCCCCGCGTCGTAGGCGTTGTCGCCCTCCAGGATCTCCTCCTGGGTGAAGTCCAGGAGCGCCTCCTCCAGCGAGAGCAGCTCCTTACCCGCCTCTCGAGCGGGAGGACGGCTGAACCTCTCATCACAGGAGGAGGAGGAGGAGGAGGAGGACAATGAGGAGAGGAAGAGGAGGAAAGGAGGAAGAGGATGGGGATGATGATGATGATGAGGATGAGGAGGAGGGATGAGGATGAGGATGAGGATGAGGAGGGGAGGAGGAGGGGGAGGAGGAGGAGGAGGAGGAGGAGGAGGAGGAGGAGGAGGAGGAGGAGGAGGAGGAGGAGGGGGAAGAGGAGGAGGAGGAGGAGGAGGAGGAGGGGGACGAGGAGGAAGATGAAACCTCATTGGGGGGCTGCTGCGCCGGATTGGGCCGCGGGTCTAAGCGGTACTGAGCCGGATTAGGCGCATCGGAATTTGACCTCCCAAGAGTTGCATCCGAGAGGGGAGGAGACATCCGAGAGGGGAGGAGAGACGACGAGCGGCAGCAGCACGAGGGAGAGGAAGAACCTCGTTCTGGCAAGCAGGCGCCCTCCGTCCGTGTGAAGGTTGCAGACCTCTGTGCTCGTGGTGATCTCTGCTAATTGCGGCCCGAAGCCAGAACCCCATTTTGAAAAGGAGCCGCCCTCCATCCGCGCGACTGCATGTATACGACGGATGTGAGCGGCACCAAGGCGATCACCCCACTTCGCGAACACTGCGCCCTCCGACCCGCGCGACTGCTGCACAATCTTGCGCTTGGGTCAAGCAATTTAGTCTCAAAGGCAACTCCACTTTCGAGAGGAACCGCCCTCCAATCGTGTAGCTGCTGTGCTTGCGAGACGAGGGTGCGCGGCACCAAGGCGATACTCCCATTGTGGAAACCCCTCGCTCTCCATCCATGTAATTAGCTGACGACTGCGCGCGACGCAAAGGCGATATCCTCGTTTTGAAAGCCACCCGCCCTCCACGCGTGTACTTGATGGATGTTTGAAGACGGGTGCGCGGCGCCAAGGCGAGCGCCGCATGTTTAACACACAAGTTGCTCGACGTTCGTCTAGTTGTCGGGATATCCATGCTTCAGTATCGTAAACGGGGAAGAGGTATGAGGCGAAATGCCCAGCCAGCCCTAACGACACGTCTGATGGCGTGAAAAGAAAGATACATGTATATGGGAAAGGGAAGCGTGGAGGGCAAATCAAAAGAGAGATGAGAGATGAAGCGACGAGGCACGACGACGAAGTCCCGGGGGGCAGGCCTCATTCCTGACGTTGAGTTGGAGGTCGTAGAAGGTCTCGCTGCGCGTGGAACGGTAGTCGACGTCCACGCACTCGATGTAGCTCTCCACCTCGCCCTCGAACAGCCTCGAAGGACAACGAGGCTTTTTGGACGTTATCGGGTCTTCCCTGGGCCCCCAGAGAGGGGCGGACTAGCAAGAGAAGGAGGAGGAGGAGGAGGAGGAGGAGGAGGAGGAGGAGGACGACGACGACGAAGGGGAGGGCGGGGGGGGGGGAGGGGGAGACAAATTAGTAGGAATGAGGAACAAGAGATGGAGAGAGGGAGGAAGCGGAAAAGGAAGAGGAGGAGGAGGAGGAGGAGGAGCAGGAAGAGGAGGATGAGGAGGAGGACAATGAGAAGGAGGAGGAAGCCATTTGGCCTCTTGCGGGCCAGCCGAACCCGATCGATCCATCGGGGTCGGTCGGCGCCTGCCGCCCGATCGATCGCGGTGGCAGGGCGCATCGCGCATCGGCCAGCCCCCGAGGCCGGGCTCGCGCGCGCCGCGCGCCATCATCTGCGGCAGGGGGCCATCCGTGCCTCTCTGTTCCCTGCCGCAGGCCGCGGCGCTGGCGGCCGCGCTGCGGCCCAAGCACCCCAGCGGCGGGACGCCGCGACATCGTCGAGGAGGAGGTCCAGAGGGAGCTGCCCGCCGCCGCGAGCGGCAGCAGAGAGCCCAGGACAGGCTCCTGCTCCGCTTGCGAGCCGCGGCTGAGCGCCCGGCCGCCCACCACTCCGCCCAGCCAGCGATGGCTCGCGACGGGAAGGGCAGAGGCAGCGGTGGCCGCAGCGGCAAGGGCCAGGCTCAGGAGGAGGCAGCACCATCAGCAGCGCCACCATGGCGCCAGGAGCGATGGCATGGCGCGGGCTGGCGAGAGCAGCACTGGAACGCCGAGCCAGCAGGTGGGGGCCCGCCCTGGCGCAGGGAGCCGTCGCGGCCACGACGCTCTGGCCAGGCCAGCCCCCGCCCCTGGCAGCAGCAGCAGCAGCAGCAGCCCAGCCAGCGCCCCTGGCAGCAGCAGCAGCAGCAGCAGCAGCCCAGGGCGAGCAAGGGTGGCCAGGCCAGCTCCAGCAAAGCTGACCAGCGAGCTCAGAAGGTCACCGACTCTGTTGCGGCCTGCGCGCTGGACGAGGCCACCACCCACCCAAAGTGGCAGGCGCCTCCAGCCGACCGTGCAGGCATCCAGAAGTTTCTGAGCAGCGCCGATCAGAGGCTGAGGCAGCTTGGCGACCTGGTCATTACCAAGCAGGCGGCGGGTGACAGCACGAAGGAGCAGTTGATGGAAATCGCTGTCATCAAGTATCAGAAGCTGGTCACGAGGAGGCCGAACGACCAGCTGCAGGTGCTCAGCAAAAGGCGCAAGGCCCTCAAGCTGGAAGTCACCGCTCTCGAGGCCAAGATGAACGAGCTGCGGGGCGACCTCAAAGCCAAGCAGCAGGAGCTGAGGCAGGTCGAGTCCAACATCGCCGACGTACGTGCTGTGCTCGCCGACGGCGGCGCGGCAGACGACGAGGGCGACTGGGACACGGGCGGGTTCGGCTTGGCGCCGAGCTGGGATACGTTCCACAAGGCCGTGATCGATAGGCGCCTGAACAGCGAGACTCCTGGGGACGGACCTCCAGCTTGGCCAGCGGGAGCGCCGGGGCGCGCGCCACGCTCAAGAGCCAGCTCGGCAGGCGGCGCAACCAGAGGCTTCGCTGATCAGGTGGCTAAGGCGAACGCGGAGCGAGCGCATCAACAGCATCGCCATGCCGAAGCCGAGCAGGAGTTTGCTGCTGAGCTGGCGGAAGTCAGGAGGGTCGCCCGCGAGCAGGCACTCCGCCACAACGCCGAGGTGGCGAAGCTCAGGCTGGCCCTGAAGGAGGAGTCAGAGCAGCTGCAGCGCACCACCGAAGCGGAGAACGTAGCCCAGCAGCTGCAGCAGCAGCAACACAAGGCTCTCCGCCACGAGCTCAAGAAGCAGCAATCTGAGCAGCTTGAGTTCGCGACGCAGATGGAGGCCAGGTTGCTCAACCATGACGCAGCATTCAGCCAAGTCAAGTCTGAGGCCGAGGCGGCGACCCAACGTGCAGATCACCTGCGAGAGCAGCTCGAGTGTGCCCGTGCGGAGCACCGCGCACAGCCACAGCCCAAGGATAAGGTCTACCAAGACCTACTGCGGGCACGCGCCGAGGTGCAGGAGGCATGGCGGCAGGCCCAGCACGAGAACGCCAAAGCGACAGCTGCAGCTGGCACTCTCAGGCAGCAGCTCATCAGGCAGGAGGTGGTCATGGAGGAGAAGCTACAGGAGGCCAAGAAGGACCATATGCTTGAACTCGAAGCTGCCACTGAGTCAGCCAGGGTCCAGGCAATTGCCCAGGCCCCGGTGGTCGCCAACGCCAAAGGAAAATGAGCCCTGCCGCCGGCAGAGGCGGCCAGGCTGCAAGGGATCGTCCAGACCGCAGCACGGCAGCAGGATCGGCTCAAGCAGACCAGGAGCGAGCTCGAGGCAGCTGGGGCCCGCATCCACGAATTCCAGCAGCACTCCAAGCTTGAGGCAGGGGCGGCACAGCGTGCAGTCCAGGTCGCCTACCACGAAGCAGCGGAGCTTAGGAGTGCCAACGAGGAGCGGCAGATCCCGCACGAGGTGCAGGCACTGCAGTACGCCCTGCTAAGGACCAGAGCAGAGGAGGAGGAGATAGCGAAGGCCAGTCTGAAGGATAAGGAGGCAATGCGGGCGGAGCTTGAAGGCAGTGCTGAGCAAACGCGGTCGCACCTCACCCGCCAAGTCATGATAGAAGAAGCGCGCGCACATGACTTGCAGCTGCATACAGAGAGCCTGCGACAGGAGCTGAGCAGCTACGCGGTGCAGCTCAGCGAGCAGAGGTCCAACGCGGAAGTGCAGGAGCAGGCGCTGGAGGAGGAGCTCGCCCAGGCCCTCACCTTCAGGATCGCCAGCATGGAGGAGGCCTCCGCCATGGAAGCCTTCGCCAGCCAGAGGACTGGCAGGGAGGAGGCCATTCACCTCGCGCTGCAAGACAGCCTCCAGCGCTCCCGTACGCTGCACACCGAGCTCGACGCCATCGCGCAAAAGGAGAAGCATGGCGCATCCGAGACAGAGGAGTTAAAGCTAAGACTGCAGAGCCTGGAAACCATCGCAGCCAGCAGAGAACGAGAACGCAAAGCCATGGTCGACCTGTACGCCGAGAGGAGGCAATACGGCCAGGAGGGCTACGACTTCACGAAGAGGGCAGCTCATCACCTCGTCCAAGGGGGCCACCTCCCAACATCCCAAGAGTCCATGGATGACTACCAGGAGGCCGCCGACCTGCACGAGAAGGCCAGATGCACAGCTGAAGCCGTTCCCGCCCCAGCGGCTCCGCCCGCTGCGACCCCTCCCAACTGGTGCAGCTGAGGAGCGCCCAGCCAACAGGGGCCGCGGGCAGAACAGCTCCTCGCCTCGGAGGCCCGCGTCCGTCAGGTCAGCCAGATCAGCAGCCCGCCAGCCCGATGAAGGCGCTGTATCACGCAGAGAGCGTGATAGGTCCAGGAGCCCCGACAGGCCCGACCCGCACGAGGAGGCAGATAGGTACGAGCGTGAACAAGAGGATTTGCGAAAGCAAGACGAGGAGGCGAAAGCGCAATGGGAAGCCGCACAGATGGAGGAGGAGCTGGAGTCAGTCGTGAGGGATCACGAGGCGGGGGAGATCCAAAGGCGCTACTACGAGGAGGCTCCAATGACCCAGTTCGGCCCTGGTGGTTCACAGGACTCCCAAGTGGCTGACGACTGCTCGGAGCACGCCCCGATGATCTACCCCACCAGCTGGCCGCCCTGGGGCCAGGACCCGAGGAGGGTGAGGAGATGAGGGGAGTCACGCAGCACGAGGCAGACACGGACCTGGCCTCCACCTCAAGGGCTAGCTCGGTACCAGCAGAGCAAGGCGACCCTCCCACTCCGACAGCATCCCAGGATATCTTCATCCCAGCATCGCCAGCGCCTCCGAGTGAGAGGTCTCTCACGCCCACAGTACCCATCGGGAAGGATGAGCAGCGCGGCCAAGACGGCGGAGAGGGAGCGGACAGCTTCGTACTGACCCCTCCCCCGGCATCCCAGCAGAGTGCGGAGGCGGCAGCAGCCAGCATCGAGAGGCAGTACGAGGGCATCGACATCCTCACGCGCCAGCACACCTCAGCCGCCGCCGCAGCTGCAGCCCTCGAGGAGGCCTTTGGACCTGCGCCAGCATTTCCAGGAGAAGACATCAGCCAGGCCTATAAGGGTCAGCGAGTATATTCGGGAGAGACAGGCATAGCACGTTTTCGTGGCCGAGTGGCCCGCAGGAGGGACGAGGCAAGGGGCACAGCAACCCCCTCCCCTCCTGCAACTCCTGGAGCCGAGGAGCAGGCAGCAGCAGCACCCGCCGAACCCCGCCAAGGGGGTGAGGCGGCCTAGCAGCGCCGCCAGGCACCAGGATATGCATGACAGAATTCACGGCCAGGAGGCGGCCGATGAGTCCGACAGGGCAGGGCGCAACGGATGTGGGCTTCCTTCACGCTCTCCGATCAGTTTGACAGCATCGATCTCCTGCGTGGCATTGGGGAGAGCAGCTGGGGCCCAAGGGCTACAGTACGGCAGTGGGGTCCTCCACTACGATGCTCAACCTACCAACCCTCAGAGGCCTGAAAGCACGGCGGGCCCTGGGGCAATTTGTGACAGCCGTCTAGTAAGACATATACCGGCCGAGATCTCGACAGTTTCACCTACCAGAGCAGCGACTCCCAGGAGGTCAGGGTCCCGAGGGGCCACGACTCCAACTAGGGGCGCTACCGTAGCTGGCGTTGGCAGTGGGAGGACCACTCCCAGACGCAGCAGCCAGCAACTTGAGCGTTCCCAGTCACCAGGGTCTCGAGGGGCCAATGTGACACCGCCACGGCCGACACGAGGGCCGCCCGCCGCGTCTCGAGGGGCGCCAGGCGGCATCGAAGGAGGCACACTACCAGGGAGGAGTGATGCACCCATCAGTCAGTCAGTACCTCAGGTCACAAGCCACCGAGATGGCTGCAAGGACGCGTTACCGGCTGCCCTTGCACAAAGGACGCCTCCCTCCGCCA